TGGTGGTGGTGGGGATAGTAACATGTAGTAGCAATAGTAGGAGTCGTGACTTTTTTTTTTGAAATTTTCTTTTTAGTTTATAAAAACTTTCATTCATTCAACGTAAAAATTTTAAATTAATTTTTTTTTTTTTTTTCTATTTTTAAGTAAGAAAAGAAGAAAAGAAAAAAATGGACGATACGACAAGGATCAGAGAGAATCAACGTTAAAAAATTATTATAATCAGTGATAAGAAACATTTTCGTGAGTTTTAAATCATCATCATCATCATCATCATCATCGTTATTGGTTACTAAAAAATTTTTTTTTTAGTACTTTAAACCGCGAGTTTTTTTTTCTAAATTTGAAAATTAAATGAAAATGGCGACGGATTTTCGAATCGTCGGATTCAAAACAATTCAACATAAAATGACGTCGATACAAACGAAAAAATTTTTTTTTATTTTACAAATATTATTATTTATCACTCATCAAACTTTTGGATCATCATCTTCCGTTTGGATGCCACAATTCTTATCAGGTGGTGAGTTTTTATCATTATTATTATTATTACTACTCGTACCCGTTAAAGTTGTTGCGAGAGAAATCGAAAAAAAAAATTCCTCGTTCAATTTTCTTCTTTTTTTTTTTTCTCATATTTTTTTTTATAAAAACTTTATTAAATTACCAATCAGTAAATCGTGATTTATAATAATAATAATAATAATAATAAATAAATTACGCACGTGCGTACGTACGCACCGTAAAAGAATTTAAATTAATTCAGAAAAGAAAATGAGTCGTTTTACGGCGGTGCCAACGAACCGAATCGTCGAGTTATAGGGAAAAACTTGCTTCTTACACGGACGACGTCACATGTGTACACGCGCACGAACGCACACACGTGCAAACTCCACGTAAAAAATTACAAATACCAATCATCGTTAAAATTCGATTAATTTATTATTATTATTATTATTATTATTATTATTATTATAAATGCCAATCATATTATTATTTAAAAAAAAAAAAAACGCTCGAAGGAAATACAAAAAAAAAAAAAAAAAACGCGATGTTAAAAAAATTTTTTTTTTCTCTTTCTTTCTTTCTTTTTCCACGTGAATTTTTTTTTTTTTAAATTACACGAAAAAAATTAAAAATGGCGTCTCAATTATATTATTCTTATTATTATTATTATTATTATTATTACGTTTACGAATTTCCTTTTTTTTTTTTCGTTTCGAGATTGAAAATAATAGTTTTTTTCTCTTCTTCACATAATTTAAATTAATTTTAATTATTGTTGCGATGAGTTGCAAACGGAAAAAGTTATTCGTTATTATTATTATTAAAAGTAAAATTATACGTAAGGCATTGACTCATCATTATTAAAATGGTTGGCAAAGTCAACGTTAATATGGTCGTACGTATGCAGACACGCACGTACACGCACAAGCGAATCTCGTTTTGCGTACGATGAGTCAACACACACACAATTTATTATTATTAAAATTCATGACCCAAATTTTTTTTCTTACCGAAAATCGTTTTTTTAACTTCCTGTCCCCTCTCTTCCCTCTCTTTTCCTATTTCTAAATTTCTTATTTTTGATCGTCCCCCCCCCTTTAAATTTTTCTTTTTAAGCGACGACATCATATCGATTTAAAAAAAAAAATTGAGAACTCGTTAAAGTGTGTGTGTAGGGTACTACGTACCGTTATAACATTTAGGCTTTTATATTACGTTTCTCTCTCTCTCTCTCTTATATTTTTTTTAATAAGCGAAAAATATTATCATTATTTTTAAGTAATAATAAATTAAAGAAAATTATTATTATTATCATTTTTGGGCGAGGCGCGTTTGTTGTATACATCTCATGAATGTGAAGAGGGGTAGGGAAAAAAAATGTTACCACCTATGAAATTTTAATAAAATTATTCAGCGAAAAAAGAATTATCGTGTGAAAGTTATACGGAGATAAAAAGAGAGAGAGAGAAAGAAAGATTTCGAAGATGAGGTTATGAAAGGAGAGAGAGAAAGAGAGAGAGAGAGAGAGAGATAGGGGAGTATAAAATTCTTTGCTGCGGTTTGCAATATAAGGAAACAAAGGCTCAAACAAGATCCACACGCTTTTTCTCACCTTTACCCGCTCCCCTTGTTCCCCATTTGCCCCCCACCCGTTCCCCCCTTTCCCCCATTCCTATTCAAACTTCATAAATTATTCTATTTGAAATAAAAATAAAAATAAAAAAATTTATTATTTTATTTTATTGTTTGTTGTCACATAACTGGCCACATACAACCGTCGTTAAGTTGATGACAACTTTTTTGTTTGTTTGTTTGTTTGTTTGTTTGCGCACTTTACGCAAACACACGTTCGTCTTTCATAATAAAACTTAAATCATGACCTAAGTTTTAACTATTTTTATCATCATCATCATTATTATTATTACTTATTATTTAAAGTCAAACTTGATACGATGTGTCCGATTGATTTGTCCCGTTATATACTCAAGCAGTTTTTGCCTTCAAGCTCCTTCTTTCTTTCATACGTTATCATTATTATCATTATTATTATTATTATTACGTTAACCAAACAAACATTACGAAAAACAAATCCTCGTTTTCCCGTTTTGTTTGTTTGTTTGTTCTTTTCTCCTTTTGTTTTTCTTATTCGAGTACTTTAATTTTTAATCGATTTCGAATACTCGAAAATTGTTTTTTTTTTATTTTAACGTCGTCGTTTGTTAGGGAGGAGGAGGTGAAAGCAGAAGATGATGAGTCAGAGAGAGAGAGAGAGATCTTGATGTATGTCTTCTTTTCAGGTTTACACAAATATTATATATATATTTTAAACATAATAATAATAGTAAGATTTTAAACGCCTTCGTAAACACGAGGAAAAAAGGAGGGATCCCCTCTCTCCGTCAAACAAACAAACAAACAAACAAACGGAATAATTAACGGAATTTGAAACAATATTATATTCGTGTGCATATATATATATATATATACAAACACAAACAACCTGAATTCTGTGTACGTACTGAGTCAACATCGTCGTTGATTGTTGTTCCGGTTTCCTTATTTCTTTTATCCATTTCATTCCATTCCATTCCATTCATTCAGCAACTTTCTTTTTTTTTTTTTTTAGGGTTCGTATCTTACTGGGTTTGGCTAATGAAATTTTTTTTACGAAGAGTAAAAGAAAAAGAGGACAAGATTGTGACGTCATTTTTAATATAAAAAAAAAACGCGCGCATTTTGAATTTTTTTTTTTTATTAAATGCCGAATCGTGTTTTTTTTTTTTACAACTACCGTAAAAGATTTAATTACGAAAAAATTTTTTGCGGCGGTTTTAATAATAATAATAATAATAATAATAATAATAATAATAATAATAATAATAATAATAATAATAATAATAATAATAATAATAATAATAATAATAATAATAATAAAACGACTCGCAGATTTTCGCTTGTATTTTTTTTTTTTTTTTTTTTAAAACGTGGAAGAAGAAAAAAAAAAATTTTTTTGACGGGTGTAAAAATTTACTCAACCGTATCATCAAAAGGAGTGCGAAGGTGCAAATGGGGGGGGGGGGGGTGATGGTAAATTTTTTTTTACTGGTAGCAAATCAGGTCGCAAAATGGGTTCGCTTTTCCTGTCGATTATTCTGTCGAAAATTTTTTTTTTTGCACGCGTTGATTGTATTTTGTTGTTCAGTCTTCCGGTCGGTTCAATATCTTTTTACTGAACTGAAACAAGTTCAAGGACAATTTAGGGATCCCCATTCAAGGTAAATTTTATAACCACTCAACCGAAACGGATTAATTAATTATAAAATTTACTCAGCATAAAAATTTATTTCCTTTTATTACGTCAAAATCGAATCAAATTATTCTTTTGTCTTCTGCTTTTTCCTATTTCTTCTTCAATGTTACATCGGGAAACACTTTGCTGTCGTCAACGCGGTCACCTCAAAGAGAGTTATACTTTTTAATTTTACTTTTTGGAATGCTATATATACTATCATCATTATTATTTATCATTTTCTAGAGTTTTCGAGCTTATCGAAATCTTTCCAGCATCCGCTTTTTAAGTTTATCTATCTTTATCAAAGATTTTTTTTTTTATGGATGGAATCATTTTTATCGAGATGTTTTTTGCGTTTTCTTCTTCTTTCAAAAATTCTTTTAGCGATTTGATATCAGTGGGGGTCTCGAAAACGTTCAGAATAATTAGTTTTCTAGTTTTTCTTCTGTTAAAAAAAAATACCTTAAACCTTTTTTGTTGTCAAATTGAATAAAGAAAAAAATATAAAAACTAATTAAATAATTATAAATAAGAAACCCGAAACAAAAGGGGTTTTAAACTAACTTGGCTTATGTCATTTAATGCTTTGCACAGGTATTCAGGTAGGTATCGATACTCTAATACCGTTAGATTATCAAAAAAAAAAAAAACGAGTACAGGAAATGTAAATTGAATTCCACTAAAAAAAAATATTACTTAGCTTATCATCGTCATTTCATGTTTTTTGGATGAGAATTTTTTTTTTTTTTTTTTTTTTGATGTAATTCTAGAATGTTTTTAACTAGAAAATTGCAGGAAATAAAAATTTCGTGGTGGTTTTTTTTTTATCTTACCAGAATGATCCTATTAGCGTTTCAATTATTTCGAGTATTTATCAGGTGTAAGAAAAAACAAGAGGTTAGATATTATGTTTAATAATAATGTATCTTTCTTAAATTCTCATTTTTTTTTTTTTTTACGTTAGTAAAGACTCAGGTATTTTATTTAATAAAAAATTATGTTAAGGTGTAACTTTGATACGTCATGTTTACAATATTAAACATTCCCACATTGACCCACATTCGAATCGAGCGTAAGTTTTTTTTATATAAAAATGTTTTAAAATAAATAAATAAAAAGTGATTGTCATGTTTCAGGTCATGGAAGAAACATTCGGCATCTTCCTTGCGTGAGTAGGAAGACGGGAGAACAAGGGATTTGCATGTTTGCGTATACGTGCATGAAATCAAATGGTACTCATTTGGGTACCTGCATAGATAGATTTTACTTCGGATCGTGTTGTAAAATCGAAGGTGGTAATAATAATAACGATTTATTAGTGGATAATCACATTAACTTTCAATTGATAAATAATAATCAAGTTTCGTCATCGAACGTTCACGATAATAATAACGTTCAAAGTGTGCCGACAACGTCACTGCCTAATTTATTAGTCAATAGATATACGGTGACCAGTGATGATGATAATAATAAGTTAAGTACTTTACCCAAAACGGAGTCGCCGCCACCATATTCGGGTTCTTACGGTGGTGCCTTCAATGGTGAAAAGACTGAAATTAATTCGGCGCAACAATTAGTAACGGAAAGTTATACATCAACTCCGAACACGGAAAAAATATACATTCCTGTTTTAACGTCACATAAACCGAACAAAACGGAAAATGTTAGCTCAAGTTCAGGTTTTTTCACGACGCACGGGTCAAGTTCAAGTATATTTAGTAGTGTAACAAAAAGGCCAACGTTACAAAATCAGGGTTTAGCGAATAATACGTCATCACATTACGTTCAAATAACTACTCCATCGTATTTTCTGTCGACGTTTCAAGTCGTTCACGAAAATAATAATAATACCTATAATGTAATTTCAACGACGAAACCTACAACGAAAATATCAGGAGTCAATAACTCATCAACGACTGAACCGGCAACCACGTGGACTCCAATCAAACACGTAACGACAACGTCTTCCACGCAAATAAGAAAAAATACAACGACCATTTCATCGAAACCTTTCTCGTCGACCACGACGAAAAAACCTTACAAACCTATCAAACCGATCACGACGACGAGAAAACCTACGCCGACTAAAAAACCAACTCAAAAACCAATAATAAAACCTTCTGGAACGACAATACAAACGACAAAGTTGCCACCGGTTAAAAAACCCACGCAAACAACCCAAAGTAATAGAGTGACCACGACGAAACCGACAGCTCCTATAAAAAAACCCATACAACCAACTAAAAAACCAGTTTTTTCATCACCCAAACCGACAACATTTAAACCGGTAGCAACCATCAAACCTCCGGGTTCGTCAAAACCGACAATAATAAAACCTTCACCGTCAAAACCTGGCATATCAAAACCTAGTTCTCCAAAACCCGCAATCATTTCAACCACCCATCATCGACCAACACCTACCCGGTCTACAACAACATCAAAAACAACATTTTTAACGAAACGTCCATCGACGACAACAACAGTACCTCCATTTACAAGACCCTCCCTTAACACTGTATCTATGCTCACGAGGCCGACGTCACAGTTTGGAATAACAACTTTCCGTCCGGATTTATCACAAACAACAACAACAACCAAAAGGCCGGATATAATGACGGAATTTTTATTAACAACCTTTAGTTACGTTTCGGAAAATGTTGAACCAACAACCATTCAACCGATGACGGAAAATGTACCATCAACAATTAGCAACGAGATACCATCATCAGAAAATTTATCTGAAAACCAAGCGGAAATGCAAGAAGAAAACACAAACATTATATCTCAACCGGGTGTATCAACAATTCTTCCAGGTTCAGTCATTCAAACTAGTTCTTCTACGAGGCCAAATGACACAACAACAACAACAACAACCAGTAAGAATTATTTAAAAAAAAATTTTTTTTTTTTCTTTCAAAATAATTATTTTACATGGTTCTTTCACCGGTAATTTAGTTTTTTTTTTTTTTTTTTAATTATACTTCCTATTTATTTTATGTTATTAAAAAAAAAAGTACCTGAAATTAATGGCAATTAACAAAAATGAACAAACGACAAACAACAATTTTATTATTATTGGCAATGTCCCCTTGATAAAAAAAAAAACGTTTTTCTTATTATTTTTTCAGTACCGTTTTTTCCGGAGGGAGGAGTACAAAAACCGGAAATGACAAAACCACCTTGGATAGAAATCGTACAAAGCACAACTCCTTCTCATACTTCAGTTTATACAACTTCAAAAACAACAACAACAACAACAAAAACAACCTCAACAACCTCAACACAATCAGTTCTTTCTTTATTGTCCGGTTTGAACGTTTCCGACTACACTCAAGGTAATTTTTTTAAAAATCATATTTATTGTTCTAAAACGATCGGTAATTAAAGTTTGTATGATAAATTATACTAAAAAAATTGGTGGGGGGGAATAGGGGGGAGAAAATCGAGGTCGATTTACACCCTTGGACCCCCAAAAAAATTATCATTTACGTTAGCGATCATGCGTAAAATGATTATTTTTGTTTTTTTTGTTATCACGGTCATCTTACGTTACTATCACACTACAATAATTTGAAACAAAAAATTACCGACCGGTAACAAACAATAATAATAATAATAATAATACTAAAATTTTTTTTTCTATTCGAATTCGTTACGATGCGTATACGCAACAACATCCAATTACAATCATTATCATTATTATCACGGTTCGTAATTAACAAATCCGGGAGTTGTAAAAAAAAAAAAAATTTTATTTATTTATTGTTATTTTAACGAATTTTTTCTTATCATTCTCTTAATTATCATTATTATTATTACTATTATTATTATTATTATTATTATTATTTTATCACGTGTTCTATTGTAAAAATAATTTTCGATCCGACTACGGAATCGGAAAATCCCGACGTACGTTTTTTTTTGTTTTGTTTTGTTTGTTGTGTGAACGAAACAAACGAGGCCGGTAAAAAAAAAAAAATTTGTAATTTTTTTTTTCATTCGGTTACATTTTGAACGTGTCGTAATACCTGCCAAAGATAATAATAATAATAATAATAATAATAATAATAATAATAATAATAATAATAATAATAATAATAATTTTCTCGTTATTAAAAAAAAAAAGTAGTTTTACCATCCATACAATGACCCGGTATCATTTAATACATATATCAGACCAATCGTAGTAATTTTTATAAAAAGTTCAGTAAAAAAAAAAAAAATTTTATCCGCACGCAAATACGTTTGTAAATTTCTTTGTTTATTATTATTATTATTATTATTATTATTTTATTCATTTGTCATCGTATAAAATTAATAATCATTATTATTATTATTATTATTATTTAAAAAAGGATGATGAAATCCGATAGTTCGTCGTCGTCGTTTTTTTTCTTATAAAAATTTAATTTATCCATGCGGATGCATGAGCGTAATATTAATAATAATAATAATAATAATAATAAACATTCGGATGCCAAGGTTGGTTGAAGAAAAGAGTTTTGTTTGGATGAACTTAGTCAATTTAAAAAAAAAAACAACTTTTAGAAGACAAAAAAAGACTTTAAGAGTGTTCAGAAAGAGAGAGAGACAGAGACAATCGGCGATTTTGTTACCGATATTTGTTGACGGCCATTTTTAATTTTTAATTTCGTTTGTTTGTTTGTGTTGTTTGTTTTATTCGAATAGTTTTTACTTAAAAAAAAAAAAAATTATTAACGAATTAAATCGTTCGGGTTACTTTTTTATATAGAAAATGTAACAAAAAACAAACGCGTCGGTTTTCTATTAAATTTTCTTTACGATTAATTTTGTGTTTGTGTGGGGGTGTGCGCATTTTTAAGCTAAACTAAATTAAAAATTGTACTCGATAAATTTATAAAAATTAATAATAATAATAAGTATGAATAAATAATTATAGAAAAATGATTATTTGTTTTAACCAAGTTAGGTTAAGTTGACTCGAATTAAATGTAAAAATAATGATTTTATTTGATTGGATTTGTTTGTTTGTTATTTTGTTTTTAATTAAAATAATAAGGGAAATGTATTTAAATGGTGGAACAAACGACACAACAAACGAAACGATTGAAAAATTATTTAAAAAAAACATAAACGAAACGACGACGACGACAACGCAATTAAATACGACTCTTTTATTACTTTCAGTTTGTGGACGAAGATTATTTCCACAATCAAGAGTTGTCGGAGGTGAAAAATCAACATTTGGAAAATGGCCGTGGCAAGTAAGTCAAAATTATTTTTTTTTTATAAAAAAAAAACATTAAAAACCAACATTTAAGTCAATTAATTTTTCTTATTTCGTTCCACTTTTTCCCTTTTCCCTTTTTAAGAAAATTTGTCTTTTTGGGGGGAAATACCCATTTAAAATGTAGACTAATAACGTTTTTTTTTTAAAAAAAATGGCCACCGATTAAAAAAAGCATTTAACGTTTTTTTTTGATTATTTTTTGGAATTAAAGTGAAAGCAATTTAATCTTAAAAAAAAAAATCTTTTTAAACATTTTCAAAATGGCGACTGTGTGCGTTAGAAAAAGTATAATAAATTAATTATTTATCTATTTAAAGATATCATTAAGGCAATGGAGAACGTCGACTTATCTACATAAATGCGGTGCTGCTTTACTTAATGAAAATTGGGCAATTACCGCCGCTCATTGCGTCGAAAAGTATGTTTTTATTGTTTTTTTTTTTTTTTTTTTTAAAGTTGTCAGCACTGTTAAACGGTTTTTTTGTCATTTATTTTTTCAGCGTACCGCCGAGCGATTTGCTGTTGAGGTTAGGTGAACACGATTTATCTACGGAAGATGAACCTTATGGATTTCAGGAACGAAGGGTTCAAATAGTGGCTAGTCATCCTCAATTTGATCCTCGAACATTCGAATACGATTTAGCTTTATTAAGGTAAGTAATTTTTTATAAACAATTAAAGGTAATAATTATTAGGAAGTAATAAGATAAAAACAAATACGTCATCATTTGCGAAATACGTCATCATTCGAAATATTTACGTCGTTTAATCCTTAAAAAATTTTATTATTATTTCAAATTTATTTATAAATTAATTATTTACGCCGTGTTTAACTCGTGCAAGCACACGCACGCATATGCCTACTATTTAAAACAAAAGATAAAACTATTTTTATTAATATAACAATAAACGCGTTCAATTATTATTATTATTATCACTATTTTGATAAAATGATTCGGTCGATGAATACAAAATAATAATTTTACTATTATTATTATTATTAATTATAAATTTTTACACAATGAGTTAAAATTAACGCCCTGATTATTATTATTATTAGGTTTTACGAACCGGTTAAATTTCAACCTAACATCATACCCGTTTGCGTACCTGAAGACAATACGAATTTCGTGGGTCAAACTGCTTACGTCACAGGATGGGGCCGTTTATACGAAGGTTTTTATTAAAAAAAAATTTTTTTTTTTACCTCCCTCTTCCTCTCTCTTCCTCCCTTACCCCCTTCCCCCGGAATTTATTTAAGAACGTTTTGTTTTGGTTTTTTTGCAGATGGACCACTTCCGAGCGTTTTACAAGAAGTTTCCGTACCTGTAATAAATAACACATTGTGCGAAAATATGTACAGATCGGCAGGTTACATAGAACACATACCCGAAATATTTATTTGCGCGGGTTGGAAAAAAGGTGGATTCGATTCTTGCGAGGTACGTGGTACTCATAATAATGATAATGATGATAATAATAATAATAATAAGTAGGATCGTTTCGGCCCGTAAACCTAAATTACATTTTTATATTATTAATTTAATTTAAAAAAAAAGGAATTCATTATACATATATTTTTTTACCGAAATGTTAATTATTATTATTATCATCATTAAAAAATTAATAGCGACGTGGTAGCAGACAGGCAAAAAAAAAACGGTAAATTTTGTTTTCAAAGTGTTTAAAATTAATTTTCACTTGAGTGTTAAATAATTCATTGATAATTCGTTTCGCCAAAAAAAAATTTTGTTCTTTGTTAATTATTTCCCCAGTGGTAATAAATAAATAAATAATTTTAATTTGTAATTTACGTCAATTCGAAACGTTTAATTTTAACTGGAGAAAACTGGAGAAAAATTATTTTTTGGGGGAGGGCGGAAAATTTTTTTTATATTTTTTAAAATTTTTTCTTTATTTTTTTTAGGCATTTTTAATCGTTTAATAAATCAATGTCCGTTTTCAAATAGTTTCTGGAATGTTTTTTTCTTTTGTGCCTGGAGAAATTGATTTTCACCCCCCCCCACTCACCCCTGCCCGCCCCCGGAAAAATCAATAAGGCGATTTATTTTAGTTATGGAAAAAAAAAGTAATTTAAAAAATACGAAACACGTCGGAAAATTGAAAAATCGATTTTTTCCTTATTTTTTCCCCATTTTTTTTTTCTCCAGCCTGGAGAAGATTTTTAACCGGAAACTCGTTCGTCATCTATCGAGTGATAAGAATTCAAAAAAAAAAAGGATAAATTTATTTTTAAATTTTTTCCAGGGTGATTCTGGTGGGCCGATGGTCATACAAAGACCTGATAAAAGATGGCTACTTGCTGGAGTCATATCTTGGGGTATTGGATGTGCCGAACCAAATCAACCTGGAGTTTATACGAGAATTTCAGAATTTAGAGATTGGATTCATCAAATATTACAATTTTAAATTTTCAACAAACAACAATAAAATCACGTGGTTGCCATTTTTTTAAAAAAATTAATTAATTAATAACGGCTCAAAAACATTTTTCTCATTAATATTTTTTTTTATTTTTGTTTTCATCGTGAATTATTATTTAAAAAAAAAAAATACAAAGCAGAAGACAATTACGTTATTACTACTATTATTATTATTATTATTAATATTATTATTATTAATTGAAAGGTCTGTGATCGTAAATCGCATTTAATTAATATTTTTATCATCATCGTCGTCGTCGTCATCATCATCGTCATCGTTATTTATTAATATTTTTAAAATTTCCAATATTATTGTTATCATCATTATTATTATTATTATTTTTTTTTTTGGAATGGTATAATAATCGGAAAAAATTATAGTACGATGATGATCGTAAATGATGATGATGATAAAATAATTTTCTTTATATATTAATTGTATTAAATTATTAAAATTTATTTATTAAAACTTTTATTATTATTATTATTATTATTTAAAAAAAAAAATTTTTTTTTTATCGTTATCGTTATTATTATTATTATCATCGCACGGTTTTCTTTTTTTTTTTTTTTCATTCGTGACGTATTATTCTATTAAAATCCGAGTGAATTTTTTTTTGTTTACGTATTTTTTATTAAAAATATTTCCGCTCCGGAAAAGTGAAAATAATAATAATAATAATAATAATAATGATAATTGATAAGATTAATGGCGTTCGGTTCGTTCGTTTTTTTTTTTTCACTTCCGGAAGTAAATTAATTTATTTTTTATATAAATATAAACACAAAAGAAAGAAAATTTTTTTGTGTGTGTAGGTGTTAAAGCGCGGGTTCGTACATTTCCGTCCGATTATTATTATTATTATTATTATTATTTGTTTACGATGTGATAACTCTTTAGGTAATGTCATAAACAAAACTCGTCAGCTTTTTTTTTCGGGTTTTGTTTATATTTTTGTTTTTAAAAAAAATTTTTTTTTGAAACGAATCGAAACGTGGAATTAGCATTAATAATAAAAAATCGTGTCAATAAAAAAGGAAACTCATCGTAAAATTTTTGTTAAGTTATTAAATTACAAAATGGCGATCGATTTTTTCGCTTTGTCCATAAGTAAAACAAAAAAAAAGCAGAAGACAAAGATATAATTAAATTTGAAAGTGTTCCGACATTGAATATATTTTCTCGAAAGTATTATAAACATCTATTTAAAATTTATTATTATTATTATTATTATTATTATTATTATTATTATTATTATTATTATTATTATTATTATTATTATTATTATTATTATTCACGTTTTTTTTTGTCAAATGAAAATAATTAGAAAAAAATGTGTAAAAAAAAAGTAATAATAATAATAGTAATAGTAACGTTCGTGAATCGTAGCAAAAAAAAAAAACAAAACAAACGACTTTCATTTATTTCGTTTAAATAGAAAAAAATAGGAAACGACGATGATTCGATAAAAAAAATTTTTTTTTTTTACTCTATGGATTGACAGTTGAATGAAAAGAGAAAATAGAAAGAAAAAAATTCTTATCTTTTTTTTTTTTTTAATTAAATGTAAAGTAAAAGTAAATTTTACTAAAACGGAACCAGAAAGCAAAAAAAAATTTTTTTATTGATGAAAATCGGACACGACAACAACAACAACAACGATGACGACAACAAACAACAAAAACGAGTAAACGTCGTTAAATGAACCAAATGAGGTAAAAAAAAATTTATATATATATATATATATATATATATAACTAAAAATAAATGTTCTTTTTCCGGGAGGAAAAACCTTTTGACCTTTTACTATACCTTTTCTTTCAATAATGATGATGATAATAATAATTATAATTTGACACGGAAATTTAAATAAGGATTCCTTTTTTTTTTTTTGTCAACCAAATGGAAAATTTTCTTTTGGGGTAATTTTTAATTAAAATTGTTTGTCTCTCTCTCTCCCTCTCCATGTTTCTCTTTCGGTCTTTCTCTGTGCTTCTCTCTCTCTCTCTCCCTCTCTCTCTCTCTCTCTCTCTCTCTCTCTCTCTCCCTGTCATTCACGCGTGCGAAAAAAAAGGTTAATTATCAATTTGAGTACATTTGCCACCGGTATCGTTAACCTTTTTTTTTTTTTGTTTCTATAAATTCGTTGCATAATTTTTGTTTTAAGAAATAAAGAAAAACCCGGAAAACATTTCGCAAATTCAACCTGGAATTTTCCAGAATAAATTAATTCCGCATAAACTATGTTTTTGAAAATTACGTAAGGTTAAATTCAAATATAAATTTTTTTTTTAACGATAAAGTAATAAAAGCAGAAGACGTAAATTTAAACGTAATTTTTTTTTTTTCTTTTTTTTTTTTTAGGTTTGATTTTGACTTATGAAAATGTCAAATTTCTGCTTATTTCACTTCCAAACCGGAAATTAAATGAAAAATTTTTTACTTCAATGGAATTTAATCGTTTAGTAAATTTCTCTTCGTTCGAGCAAACAACAACAACAAACAACTTATTCAAATAAACGACACGATGTGATTGTTATTCGAAATGTAAATAAATATTTTATCGTCTGCTACGATTCATACGAAGGGATGATGTTCAATTACGTACGTAAATTATAATTAATTCGAGGGGTTGTACGAGAAATAATTTCTCGTGTAAATATTATTTTATCTAAAACTTATTGCCGGTTCGTAAACAAAGTACTTAATTAAACAAACACAATTAACAACAACAACAACGATAATAATAATAATAATTGTCATTTTCACAAATGATTATTCGATTGTTTGTAATTTTTTAATATTTTACAAATTATTAAAAATAAATAAAAA